CTGCGGAATGGGTCGAGACTTCCTGAGACCCCGCATTGAAAAATCACGGCATCGGATGTCTGGGTTCCCCTGGAGGGTTTCTCCGAAGGGCTTTGGCGACCCGTCCTCCTCCTCCTCCTCCTCCTCCTCCTCCTCCTCTTCCTCTTCCTCCTCCTCCTCCTCCACGTCCACTTCCTCCTCTTCCTCCTCCTCCTTCTTCTTCTCCTCCTCCTCCTCCTCCTCCTCCACGTCCTCCTCCTCCTCCTCCTCCTCCTCCTCCTCCTCCATCTCCTCCTCCTCCTCCTCCTCCTCCTCCTCCTCATCCTCGTCCTCCTCCTCCTCCTCCTCCTCCTCCTCCTCCTTGGGTCGCCTACGGCCCCGGGGGACACGGTGCAGGTTCCCCAAACGACTTGTGTCTCGTCCCGGGCAGTTCTTGGACGGTCCCATAGGGTGGCCCCCTGGAGGCGCGAGAGGACCAAGAGCCTCCCGTGGAGTGTCACGACGCGAGCACTTCTGGGATTAAGTCGGGCCTATTCCTCCACAGAAGGAATATGCAAGAATAGTCCACAAAAGAGTCTGGGGACGAAAATCAAAATCTAAGTATCTTTCGAGTATATTTTGTTTTTCTTCCAAAATCCGCCCGTAGGGGGACATGCCCGACCTAATTCTGGGACCCCTAGCATCACAGGCGACTCTTGTCCCCCAATCCGTGGGTTCCGCCCGAAAGTTTGGCCGCTCTGGAAAAAGGGGGGGATCTCTGGGATGCAGCCCAGGGGGTCAGTTCTTCGGACTGGGCCCCTATCGAGGATGGACGCCCCCCCCCTCGTGTTTCCCAGGGTCGGGCCCCCGACGTCTGGTCCGTTCGAAACCCACGAAGCCTGCGATAGGGGTCGACATGTCCCCTGTCATGGCAGCCTCCGATGCGGTGGCGCCGCCGGGCGCGGAGCCGAGGGCCCTGTGGGACCGCCGCGTGTGCTCGGCCGCGGCGCGCGCTGGCGCGGAGGCCGGCAGCGAGTTCCGAATATTTACCGTTCAGGAGCCTTGAGGCCAAGACCCCCTCGAGTCATGGACAACTACCTCCTCCATCTCTTGGTCTCCTCCTCCGCCTCCTCCTCCCTCTCCCTCCTCCTCCTCCCTCCTCCTCCCTCCCTCCTCCTCCTCACTCCTCCTCCACCTCCTTCTCCTCCTCCTCCTCCACCTCCTCATCCTCGTCCCTCTTCCCTCCTCGCTCCGTCTTTCTCCTCCTCCTCCTCCTCCTCCTCCTCCTCCTCCTCCTTCCTCCTCCATGCTTCCTCCTTCTTCTCCTCGTCTCCTCCCCCCCCCTCCTCCTCCCCTCCCCCTCCTCCTCCTCCTCCTCCCTCCTCCTCCTCCTCCCTCCTCCTCCTCCTCCTCCTCCTCCTCCTCCTCGTTCTCCTCCTCCTTCTCCTCCTTCTCCTCCTTTTCCTCGTCTCCTCCTTCTGCCCCCGTCACTCCTGCCTCCCTCCTCCTTGTCCTCCCTCCTCCCTCCTCCCCCTCCTCATTCCCCCTCCCTCCCTCCCTTCCCACTCCTCCCTGCTTCCCCCTCCCTCCTTCCTCCTCCCTGTGAGCATTACGGCGTGGGCACGGAAGGCACCATACGCCCTTCCACCATCAAGGAAGTGCATCATAGCTTTCACCTTCAAAGGAGTACATCACAGCCGCGGACCTCCAATACAAACTTCGGGGACCCATGACATTCACATCTCATAGACAGTCAGTGTACACTCATTCATTCCACTCGTGGCATGCTCTCTCCTCTGGACCGTGAACGGGACTTTGGCTCCCCTGCCGGATTCCCAGTGCCCCCTCATTGATCTCATGGACTTGGAGGGCGTCATCTCAACTCATGTGGGAGGGAATGGGGCGGTCTCTCTACGCTTCCTGGTGCCGCGCCCCGCTTTCCTGCCTCGTCTTTCTCTTTTCGTGTTCTTCCTGCGCTTCCTTTGCGTCCCCATCGTCCGCCCGCTGGCTAGGCGACGCGCCCGTTCCATTCAGGCACTCTTGTTCCATGTGCGACATCGGCTCTAGGCTCCGACTTCGCTTTGATCGCTCAGGGGCGGGTGCCCATCGCAGTCATGGAGGACCACCGGGAGGAAGGTGACCACCGACCTCGTGAACGCGATGGGGGCGCCGTGATCTTCCCACTTCCGGCTACCATGGATGGGCCTGTTTTCCACCAACACCACCAGAAATTGGAGAGGGAGGGAGTCCTCCTCCTCCTCCACCTCCTCCTCCTCCTCCTCTTCGTTTCTTCGTCCTTATCCTCCTCCACCTCCTTCCCCCCTCCAATTTATGGTGGTGGTGGTGGTGGTGGAAAACAGGCCTATCAACCATACAGCCCCAGGAGGTGCTCGCCCTCACAGGGGAACGCCGCAGCCGCAGCCATCGTACGGCGAGGAGGGAGCCGGATGTGCAGCCACCATGGGCTGAAAGCCGCTACCGCAGCAGGAGCCACCATAGGGGTTCGAGGCGGCTTTCTGAGTATCATGCGCTCAGCGCCCCCTCGCGCGGCGATCTTCGGCATGACCTTGAAAATCTTCTTTGTCCAGCGTGCGGACTCAGGGGGCACATCGCCAGAGACTGCCCACATATATACCCAGCCCAACGCCGCCACCTTCACCCGGACACGGATATGGCCAGCTGGGGCTTCATCGTCTTCGGCTGCATCGGCATCGCGCCCCTCTCTTCCTCTGCCTGCTCTGCCTGCTCTGCTTGCTCCGCTTGCTCGGCTTGCTCGCCTGCTGGATGGGCGGGAGGGGACGATGCGCATTGGAGGAGGAGGAAAGGAGGAGGAGGAGGAGGAGGGGGAGGAGGAGGGGGAGAGGGGGGAGGAGGAGGAGGAGGGAGGAGGAGGAGGGGGGGAGGGAGGGGGAGGAGAGGAGGGGAGGAGGAGGAGGAGGAGGGGAGGGGGAGGGGAGGGAGGGAGGGGGAGGGGTAGGGAGGAGGAGAGGAGGGAGGAGGAGGAGGGAGGAGGAGGAGGAGGGGACGATGCGCATTGACTTTCACAAGCCCCAGCCTGGCGCCGCACGTGCGGCGTCGGGAGGGGCGGGCCGCTCTCCCACCGCCCCGCCACAGAGGGCGGCACGACTGCCCCGTGAGCAGCACGGTGTGGCCCCGGGAGGGCACCACACGCCTGTCCAGCGCCAGGGGTCTGCATTCTACCACCTCCTCCTCCTCCTCCTCCCTCCTCCTCCACCTCCTCATCCACCTCCTCACCCTCGTCCCTCTCCCCTCCTCTCCTCCGTCTCTCTCCACCTCTCCTCCTCCTCCTCCTCCTCTCCTCCTCCTCCTCCTCCTCCTCCTTCCTCCCTGCTTGATCCTTCTTCTCCTCGTCTCCTCCCTCCCCCCCCCTCCTCCCTCTCCTCCTCCTCCTCCTCCTCCTCCTCCTCCCTCCTCCTCCTCCCCTCCTCCTCCTCCTCCTCCTCCTCCTCCACCCCCCACCCTCACAGGAGTGCATCATAGCCTCCGGCCTTCAACACACACTTCGGGGGCCCGTGGAGCTCACCACTCGTGGACATGCAGTGTGCATGTGTTCATTCTCCGTGCGTAGCACGCTCTCTCCTCCTCCTCCTCCTCCTTCCTCCCTCCTCCCTCCTCCCTCCCCTCCTTCTCTTCGTCTACTCCTCCTCCTCCGCCTGTCTCCTCCTTGTCCCAGACCCCCTCGCATGAAACGAGTACGACCGAAGGATTTTCGCTATTTTCGGCGACGACTCCTGTTCTGGGGGATGCGTCGGGACCTCTGTGGGTCGACGTCACGAGCCAATCACGACGTCGGATGTCCCGGGGAGGACGAGGGTCAATGCAAACGCTCTGCACGAAAGAAATGGGCACGGAAAGAATGGGTACAATGCCCAACAGCAGTTCCTGTTCATGTTGAACAGGACTCGCTACTCGCGCCGCTGCGGCCTGTGTCCATTCGAGACAGAAGGCCGCCTGCCCAACAGCGGCCGCTGATGGTTTGGGACAACATTTATTTGTTGGGCATTGTACCCGTTCTTTCCGTACCCATTTCGGGCGTCCAAAAACGCGGTTCAGCCAGAGCGCCGGATCCTGCAGGATCCTGCAGTCAGGGCTGGACTGACTCGGGCGCGCGCGCGCATGATCCTGCCGGCTCCCGCGGGAACGCGACAGGTCCTGCAGAGCCCGACGGACCCCAGCTCTGCATGCGCCCGTCGGTGGATCCCCGAGACCTCGCCGCGATGCCGGCTCGGGCACAACAAGTCAGGTTCAAAGGAGGAGGAGGAGGAGGAGGAGAAGGAGAAGGAGGAGGAGGAGGAGAAGGAGGATGAGGAGGAGGAGGAGGAGGAGGAGGAGGAGGAGAAGGAGGAGGAGGAGGAGGAAAGGGTCTGGGGTTCGGGAAGGCTTGTTGGTCCCCCCTTCTTCGACCTCCAGGGGCCATCTTCGGTTCCTCGGAATCGGATCCGTGGCGAAGGACTGCACCGGATGGACTCCGGGAGGGTCCGCGAACCGTTTTTGTTGAGGGGATTTGGCTGCATCCCTCTGGACGCCCGAAATGGGTATTGAAAAAATGTGTACAATGCCCAACAGCAGTTCCTGTTCAATTTGGGCAGGATTCGCTGTCCACGCCGCCGCGGCCTGTGTCCATTCGGGACTGGAGGCCGCCTGCCCAACAGCGGCCGCTGTTGGTTTGGGACAACATTTGCTGTTGGGCATCGTACCCATTTTTTCGGTACCCATTTCGGGCGTCCAAATCCCCCCCTCCTAGCCGGTTGTTTGCGGTTCCGACTAGTGCAGACCCCCCAGCCGCCTCCTCCCCTCGCCGATCAACGATGCTGTCGGCTCGACGGGTGGCTGGGTTACTCAGAGGTCGGAGTTCGCCAAGCACGTGGCGAAACCAGAGCTCTACTTAGATGGCCGCTGCGCGTAGTAAGTGTTTAACGGCCTTCCTAGACGATACCAGTGGATACAAGCAGGTCATACATGTTAGTATGTAGCTAAGCCGCCGATCATCTACTTGGCGAAGTCACTTACAACCTGTCTAGCTCACTACTTCTCAGTGGGTAGTGCGTGGGTATCTCGTGGCTGGTAACTGGGTAGTAGCACTTACTAACCACTTGGTTCGGAATGTTTCGGACACGTGGTGAAGTCGAAACGTTACCCCGCCTCTCATCGATTCAGGAGGGTCGATGGTTGGTGGGGGTGTGGGATTCGCATGTCGCCACCTGTCAGGCCGGCTCCTGCGTGGTCGCCGGCGGCTGTGATGACTCCACCGTCCTGATTTGGAGGCTGCCAGGCCGAGACGTGCTCCTGTCGTCTAAACCCTGCGATCCTGGCGTGTCGTGTTTGTTGCGTTGGGCGTTTTCGCCAGATTTCGGGTCCCGGGACCATCACATATCGATCTGGCTCGCAGACTGCAGCGTAAGGATGGGGTTCGGGGCTACGCATGTTTTTTGGGATGCCGCACGGTCGGACCGAGGCATAAGATTGAGGTCGGTTCGGGGACGGTGCCCTAACCTTCTTCGTCTTTGTTGAATGTTCTTTTGCACCCTTGGGGAGGGTAGCCTCGAATGTTTTCCAGTCTGGCCGGCGGATGGGTCTCATGTTTTTGAAGGATGTGATTATGTCCTAGGTACGGCCGTATTGTTGATACGACATCGGACCTAAGGGGTGTAAAGTGTAAATGCTGCGACGGGATTTTTTTTAGCCGCTATTTCGGCCGGGGTCCCTCGCCATGGCCCCAGGACCTTCAAGAAAAGGGTCGGGAACGAAACGCCAGCCCTGGGGAAAGGGTCGGTCGCAGGCGATTTTCTTTCCTCAGTCCCCGAGTTCCGCCCGAAAAGGGGGAACCTTGGGATATACCCCAAGGGGGTTCTTCGCTCGCACCCCTATCGAGGATGGACGCCCCCCATCGTATACCCCAGGCTTCTGCCCACATTTTTTTATCCATGCCAAAATTCCAAAAAAGCTTGGGAGAGGGGTCGACATACCTCCTGTCAGTCGAGACTTCCGGGGACCTCGCATGGACAAACATCGAGACATCGCATGTTTGCGGGAGGCTCCGCCGAGCCGTTCCCCGATGGGCCCTCCGACGTGCTGCACACGGCCTTCACCCAGGGCTCCACGGTCTGGTCGCTGGCGTGGTTGCCAGGCGATGACCCGCACATCTTCGCCGCGGGCTACGCGAACGGCTACATTCGGGGAAGCGGAAGACTCGAGTTCGCCGGACCTCGTGTTTGCCTACGCTTCTTGACGGGGCCGTCCTGAGTATTGACAGTCCAGTTCTCGTGGGATGCCTGCAGCGGGGGCGCACGTCAAGTTTCAGACTGCGTTGTTATCTTTGAGTGGTTTTGCTAGGCCAACCCGAGCCCCCCGAACCCGCGTTGTATGTCTCCCCGATACATCGCGCTGTGGGACTACCGCATGCCGATGGCCCCCGTCGGCAGGTTCTTCATGCAGCTGACGTCCCCAATTTGGCGGCTCGAGTGGCTGGACTCGGGCCGGGCGAAAGGGGGGGATTGGGGAAGGGGGGGTTACGAAATTTGCTGCATGCAGCTGGTTTCGGCCTCACCGAGGGGCCCATTCCTCGATACATAGCCGCCTCCGGCGCCGGGAGGCGCCGGGAAAATCAGCTACGCGAGCTGATTCTCAAACCCCCCCTTTGCTATCCCCCCCTCCTCGCCCGACCCGATGGACGCCCTGCACCTCTGCGTCCAGCAGTCGGAGTGCAGCCTGCTGGACCTCACGGTCTCGAGGACCAGGCTGCGACTGAAGAGGCGGGGGTTTAGGGTTTAGGTTTTAGGTTTAGGGTTTAGGGTTTAGGGTTTAGGGTCCACTAGCCCAAACTTGCAGCCCACTTGACCGTGTCCCACCCACCCATGACCCAAGACATGTTGATTTCGATGCGGTATCAACACGCGACTCGCAAAACGACGACGAGGACGACACCGATGACGACGACGTCGATATTGTTTTCAAAACGACGACGACGCGGCCGCGCAAAGCCACCTGGGACGCGGCTGCAACGGCGATGCGGCCCGCGCGCCACGGCGCGCGGAGGCCGATGCAAGAGCGATGCGATGCGCGCGCGCGCGGCGCCACAACGAGTAGCCCCACCCCCCCGCAGAAACTTACCGACGCCTCGGCGATGCATAAACCAGCTCGACGCGAGGCGCGCGGAATAATTCGCTGCTGGGCGAGATCGCTGCCCGCGACGCGGCGCGCGAAGGCCGATGCATGGGCGATACGACGCGTGCGCGCGCGAAGAACCCAGCTCGACGCGATGCGCGAGGAATAGTTCGTTGCTCGGCGAGCGCGCTCCCCGCGACGCGGCGCGCGAAGGCCGCGTCGACGAGGCGCAGCTGCGCCTTCCTCCGAGAGCTTCTCGGCGAGAGGCTCCCGGGGGAGGGGGGCTTCTGGGCGGCCGTGGTCGCCCCGCCGCGCTGGCTCCGCGGCGCTTGAGCGCGCCGCGGAGTGACCGCGCGACGGGGCGGCCATATCCGCTCGGAAACCCAGGGGGCCTTCCAGCCTCCACGGGGCGGCCCCTGGGGAAGGGCACGGGGGCGGCTCTCAACCCGAAAGGGTCGAGGTCGCGCCCGTACCTTTCGCGAAAGACAGTGCTGACGCCATGCCTGGCATACCGAGGCCATGAACGTTTGCCACGAGTCTGGGCGATGGGAGTACCCTGCATTTTCGCAGGTTCTCCCAGAACACCACGCCCGGTACTCCGGGAGTTTGCAGATCCTCCCAGAACGCCCGTCCTGGCGCTCCGAGGGCAAGGATCTGCGTGAGGGGCACACCCTGGGATTTGCAGATCCTCCCAGAACGCCATTCCTGGCGCTGCGAGGGCAAGGATCTGCGTCAGGGGTGCGCCAAAATGGGGGGCGGCCGAAGGAGGGACTTTAGGGCGGCGGAAGGGATTTTAGGATTTAAATCTTTATAGCCTCTTAGTTTTTAGGGTCTACTAGGCGTGGCCACGAGTACAACGTGACCGCGAACCCACCTGCGGTGGCCCTCACTCCCACCCGCACGCCACCCCACCATAAAGATCATCTCTCCCCTCGTTCGAACCGCATCGAATACAGCGTCGACGACGAGGACGACGACGAAGGCGACGACGGATGTGCGATCCAGTTGGCACGCGAGTGCTGTAACGGGCGGGACGAGTCGGGTCGGGCGGAACAGGTTCTGCACGCATGCGCAGGAAGTGCCATTTTTTTGCAGTAGATGGAGCGGGTTTACATAAGACGGGCGCACTTTGTGTTGTTAAAAATTTGAGATTCTGCACGCATGCGCAGGGAATGTTATTTTTTGGAATGGATGGAGGGGGCTCGCGACGGGGGCCGCCCACTTTGTGGTGTAAAAAATATGAAATTCTGCACACATGCGCAGGACATGTTTTTTTTACAGTAGATGGAGCGGGCTCGCAACGTGGGCTGGGCACTTTGTGCTGTAACACATAGGAGATTCTGCACGCATGCGCAGGACATGTTTTTTTTGCAGTAGATGGAGGCGGATTGCATGCGGGCCGCTTTTGCGGTACTTAGGATTTAATAATTATAGGATTAAGAATTTAGGGTTTAGGGTTTAGGGTCTAACAGGCTTGGCCACGAGTTCAACTTGCCCACGAACCCACCTGCGGTGGCCGTCAATCCCACCCGCAAGCCACCCCACCATAAAGATCATCTCTCCCCTCGTGAGAACCGCATCGAATACAGCGTCGACGACGACGACGACGGCGGCGACGACGGATGTGCGATCCAGTTGGCACGCGAGTGCTGTAACGGGCGAAGAGTCGGGTCGGGCGGAAAAGGTTCTGCACGCATGCGCAGGAAACGCGAGTCGGTGGAATCAGTGGATCGGGTCGCAACGGAAAGCATTTTTCATTGTAAAATACTGGAGATTCTGCACGCATGCGCAGAGATCCTGCACGCGTGCGCAGGGAGTGAGATTTTTTGCCATACATGGAGCGGGGTTACCTAAGAGGGGCGCACTCTTGTGTTGTAAAAATATGAGATTCTGCACGCATGCGCAGGAAATGTAATTTTTACAGTAGATGGAGAGGGCTGGCGACGGGGGCCGCCAACTTTGTGCTGTAAAAAATATGAGATTCTGCACGCGTGCGCAGGACATGATATTTTTTGCATAGGATGGAGGCGGCTCGCGACGGGGGTCGTAAAGATCCCCATAGCAGGCTCGATCCAGGAAGTTGGATGGAAGTCAGAACGCATGGGGTCTAGTAATCAGGGTTTAATAATTGTAGGATTAAGAATTTAGGGTTTTAGGCACGAGAGTTGCCGCAGGCAGTTGGGCTTCGGCACCGCCCAGACATGGGCGCCTTCCGGCGCCGGGAGGCGCCAGGGAAACCAGCCACGTGAGCTTATTTGCTGCCCCTCCTTCTGGATTTCAGACGGCATGATTTTTGGTGGGCCCAGGCGTTGTTCCTGGATCTTCGCCGCGGGGGCCCTGGTCAGGGGTCGAGGCTTCAAGGGACGCGAGTTGAAAGAGACGAAGCACCATTGGATGCCCCCGCATTTGCGGATAAGAGTGCCGGGGCGGCAAATATTGCCCCCATGAGTTATGAGCTATTCCCGTTTACTGCCCCCCGCGTGTTGCCCACATGCTGCTCCCCCATTTATGGTTCCCACATGTCGACCCCGTGTGTTGCCCCCGCGTGTTGCCCCAACGCGTTGCTCCGAAGCCCCGCCCCCATGTGTTTCTTGTCTTCAGGGACCACCACCGGGCGCTCAGCCCTTCATCCAGCCACCCGCGCGCAGGGAAGAAGTCAGGCCGTTCGGGACCCCTCACCCTTGCTACGATGGGTTCGCGTCGTGTCGACTGGCGCCGACCCAGAATCGGTCGACGTTGAAGGACTTGGCATCGCCCGGACGTGTGCATTTTTTATTTGGCGAGGGCCATCGAGGAGCATCCTCGATCACTTGGCGAAAAAACCACGCACGAAACCGAAAAAAACATAGAAAATGGACGTCCGAGCGATGGCCAGCTGGCGCCGACCCAGAATCGGTCGACGTTGAAGGATGTGACGTTTCGTAAACGGCTGGTCGTTCGAGGTCGAACGATCCCCGCGGTGTCAGGAGCCATCGCTGGGGCAGACACGACACGACCCGTGGGAGCCCCCGTGTGTCTGGGTTACCACCCGGATAGCCGACGATCTGTTTTTTTCCTCGCGCCTCGGAGTCAGCGGCGAGCCAGGGGGCAAAGTGAGGAGGAGAAGTCCCTCTCAGAAGGCTCGGGGCAGATCCCTGGGCCTTCTGAGAGGTTTGCTGTAAGCCTTTCCCCGAAGACGCAGCAAACATTTCGGAAGGCGCGAGGCCTTCTGAGAAGCCCCGCCGCCTTCCCAGACCCCCTACGTCATGATTTTTTCATTACATCGACCCCCAAAGGTCTCGACCCATTCCCCGGGACCCGTTTTTCATCCTGCGTCGTTTTTGTTGACGGTCCCGAGGGCCAGTGAGGGCTCCCAGGGGCCGAAAATAGCAACACAAATCCCGTCATGGTTTCTTCATTGCCCGAGGGGGTCAGGGTTCCGAGGAGGCCTTCTCCTCCTTGCCTCCCCCCCCTGGCTCGCCGCCTGCAGAGGTCCTGCGAGGCCTGCCCTTCGGGGCAGCCCTTCGCCCCGCGAGGCGCTGTTTTGGGACGCCCGGCGGGCCCGAGGGCAGCCTCCGTGGAGGCCGAGGCTGAGGAAAGCCGCCCGGGCTTGAATGACCATAGCGACGAGCGAACAACACGCAACCATACCCGTATGGAGGTATTTGCCCCAATCAGTTCAGCACTTGCTTTGAAGTTGAAAGACTTGGTGAAGGTTTCCCGTCGATGTTGGTAGCAGGCTGGGTTCCCAGGTTCCCGGTTCCGGGTTCCCGGGTTCCCGGTTATTGTTTCCGGGTCGATTTCGGTGGGTTTTGGGTTCCTGGACTCCCGGGTTCCCGGTCGATCTCCTCAGCGAAAATAATCCATTGATTATAGGCCTTTTCTTTGGTGTATTTTGAAATTTTCTTGTGCGTTTTTGACTATTTTTTAAGTGTCGTCCAGAATCCGCCTGTAGGGGGACATGCCCGACCTGTAGGTAGGGTCCGGGGCTCCGGTGGTGAGGTTTCACCATGTTGCAAGCTTGCTGCAGCGTCGGATCTCATGGCGAACGAGCAACATGCACCCATACCTATATGGGGGTCGGAGGGATGAGGACTGGCTATGGGTATGGGTGCGGGTTGTGGACCCCGGGGGGCGCTCCCGTTCGAACGGGGACGCCCATCCGGCAACATGCACCCACAGCCTCCTCCGCCCCCTTCCCTGGGTGCGGGTGTGTGTTGTTCGTTCGTCACATGGCGTCAGAGGTCTGGGCGTCCCCACTTGTCGGAGGTCCGTAGAAGGGGGGTCATCCCAAGGTGGGGTTACAGGGAGCGAGGCCCGCTGGCTGCTCCGGTGCTCGTATCCCGGGAGCCACTAAGAGAACGGTTCTTCCTGCAGTCCTGCAGCTCTTTCCGGGGTGAGCGCCCCCTTGTTCAGCCACGCGCAGATGGGGGTGGGGAGAGGGAAGGAGGGCTTCTTAGAAGCACCCCTGCTTCTCAGAACGCGCGGGCCTTATCTATAGATGTAAGGCCGGCGCATTCTGAGAAGCAGCCTCCTTCTAAGAAGCCCGCCCCCCTCCCTCTACCCCCTCGTGTGCGCCGCCAACTTACCCCGCCTGCTTGCTGCGGGCGTCCTCTTCCTCTATCCCTCTCTTGCTGCCGGTCCATCGGTACGCCGCGCGCCCCCTGCCTGCTGGAGCGCGGCCGTGCGGGCCGCCTCTGCCGCGCTGCGACGGGAGTAACCCCACCCCTCTTTCTCCTCCTCCTCCTCCTCCTCCTCCTTCTCCCCCTCCCCCTCCTCCTCCTCCTCTTCCTCCTCCTCATCCTGCTCTTGGTCGTCGAGGACGATACCGCCGACGGCGCGTAGGCCTCCTGGCTGCACCTGCTGGCACTCCCCTCATGGGGAGGTGCTCGGACTCTTTTCCTTCTGTCGGGCCCGTGCCCGGGTCGCCTGGCTGTGCCTTGGCACGCTTTGCGCCGCGCCTGATGAACAAATCCTCATCCTGCTCGTGCTCCTCCTCCTCCTCCTCTTCCTCCTCCTCCTCCTCCTCCTCCTTCCCCCAACGAACTTAAAGTGGTGGTGGTGGAAAACAGGCCCATCACCCTCTGGCGGCCGCTCGGGCTCTTTTCCTTACTGTCGGGCCCGTGCCCGGGTCGCCTAGCTGCTAACGCTTTGCGCCGCGCCTGATGAAGAAAATCCGCATCCTGCTCCTCCTCCACCTCCTCCACCTCCTCCACCTCCTCGTCCTCCTCCTCCTCCTCCTCCTCCTCCTCCTCCTCCTCCTCCCTGCCTCTACCCCATTTTTTTTCCTCTCCGACTTTCGTCGTCCGACCCGAGAGGACCATGAGGCTCCGGGGCAACATCGTCCGCGCGGACACGGCCTTCGAGCAGCAGTGCACGGGCAGCTGCGGCCTCGGCGCCCGCGTGCTCACCGCGTGGTCCGACGGCGCGCTGTGCCTCACCGAGGCCTTCGGGGTCAACGCGAGGGAAGGGGAGAGGCTCAGGGGCAACGCCTTGCTCTGAGATCCTTGCGTCGCGTCTGTTTCGCCAGGGGCGATTCTGTTTGGTTTCGGGCCCTGGAATCCTCACACATGGATGCGGCCCGGGATAAGCTGCAGGGCTCCAGTGTCCTAGGCTCTGGGCTCAGAGGGTGACGCGTCGACGCCCAATCGCCCATGGATCGCCGATGAGGGCTCGATAGCCCACCCCGCCGAGGCACGTGCGGATTCGCCATCGGGGGCCCGTCGCCGATTGATCGGCGACGTGTCGCCGAACCCAGCTCGGTGCCCCCCTTGAGCCGGTCCCCCCTGCCCAGCGTTCCCCGCCCGAGGCCCGGCAGAGGCGGGCGCCCCAGCGCCTCCCGAAGAGCCAGGACCGACCACACGCAAGAGACCAGATCTTGAGTTGGGCGTGTCCCTCTACGGGGAGAACGTTCAAAGATAGTCATAAATAGGCTGGGGCCGATGTTTGAATATTCTGTGATTGTGTTATTTGGGATGTTTTGGGGTATTGATCATTTTTCGTCCCACATCCGCCTGTAAGGGGGACATGCCCGACCTAAACCTGATCGCGTTCCCGCCTCGGAGGCTGCCAGGGGTGATGCTGGCCCGAGGCGCCCTCGAGAATCGAGTTTCGGCTTCGGGGGCCGAGCTCTGCGGCTGTTGCTGCCAGTTTTGTTTGTGCCTTCCAGGGGGCTGTTCGTGGCCGCGGCCCGAGGCGCCTTGGAAGCCTGGCCAGGGCGCCGCCCGGCACAGGTCCTTCGATTGATTTTTGGTGTCCAAGCCTCAGAAGGCTCGGGAGTCCTCCTCCTCCTCCTCCTCCTCCTCCTGCTCTTCCTCCTCCTTCTCCTCCTCCTCCTCATCCTCTTCCTCCTCATCATCCTCCTCCTCACTCTCCTCCACCGCTTCCTCCTCCTCCTCCTCCTCCTCCTCTTCCGTCTCCTCCTCCTCCTCCTTCTCCTCCTCCTCCTCTTCCTCCTCGTCCTCCTCCTGCACCCACGACACCGCTGTCGTCCTTTCCCCGCCTCGGTCTCCTGCATCCGCTCTCACAACGTGGGCCCCGGAGGGTCTGGACATGCCCCGGCAGGAGAGCGGTGCGCAGCTGGGTCGACCTTGGGTCGGGGGAGCGTAAGACCCGGGTTTGCCAGGACTCGGGTTCGCCATCGTTTTTTGATGACCGCGACTCGTATTTTGACGAGGAGGAGTTTTGTGGGATGTCTGCAGCGGGAGGCCTCGTCAAAATGCAGGCTCGGCCTCGTCATTTTTTTGACGACCTCGTCGGGGATTTCCGAGTCCCCCGTACCCGGGTCTTACGTCTCCCCGACTGGGGAGTCCGGGGAGTCCGGGGAGTCTGGGGGAGTCCGGGGGAGCCCGGGGAGTCCAGAGAGTCCGGCCCGATAGCCCAGTTACATTAGTTGTATAATTTTTCACGATCCTCTAATCAACATGATTGGTCACATAGCCAACACGGTGTATCACATGATCATCTTTTCACCAACATGGATTATCATATAATCAACAAAGCTTTATCCCTTAACCAATATGATTTACCCTCTAACCAACCTGACGCATCACATAGTTATCCTGTGTAATCAACCCGATTTGTCGTACAACCAACCTGGTTTATCACATACTCAACATGATTTATCCAATAACCAACATGATTGATCATATAATTAGCACGGTTATCTTGGAACTTATCTTACTTCAATTCAGCGAGGTCCCCTCCTCCGCCTCCTCCCCTCCTCCGCCTCCTCCGCGTTCCCCTCCGTAACCATTTGGGCTCAATGTAGCTGCGCCGGCCCCCCATCGGGGGGCCCGCGGGCCCGAGCCATGGCGCAGCTGCTGTGGGACGCTGATGGCAACCTTCTGGACTGCGTGCGCAAGGCACGCGCGCCTGCGGCCGCGCCGTCGACCGAGCAGACGCCGACGGTCACGGCCCGCGTCATCAGGGCGCCGACGCCCAAGGCGTCGGCGCGGAGGCTAGCAGCACTTTCGACGCCAGAACCTTCGCCAGCAGCACCTTTGCCAGCAGCACCTTCGACGCCAGCACCTTCAACGCCAGCATCTGCGCCAGCAACCATCTGCAGCATCACCGTCGCCAACAGGCCATGTAGGCCAGTGATGCCAGTGGGGCTGGTGGCCGTCGCGGCGCCGATGCCGCCGCCGCTGCAGCCCACGACGACGGCGGTTCAGAAGAAGAAGGAGCTGCCGCTCATGACGAAGGCGGTTCAGAAGACCATGGCGCAAACGGCGTCGGCGCAGACGAAGGCGCCGAAAGCGCCGTCGAAGCCACCTCCGCTGAAAGCGGTGGAAGCGCGAGAGCGGCAACACATGGCGCGGCACGACAAGAAGCACGACGAGAAGCAAGAGCACGCCGAGAAGCAGAAGCACGACGGGAAGCACCGGCACGACGAGGACCAGCCCTTGCTGGAGAAGCTGACGACCATCGCCCAGTCGACCGTTCTGCAACCCGCTCGTCCACTCCAGGCCGGCCTGGAGTGAAGCAGCAACCCGTTCTGCGCGACCCCTCCGATGGGCGTGCACGTGCCGCCCCCAGATGAGGAGGCGCACAGGGAGAAGATATTCGGCAAAATCGGGGAGTAGAGCACCGAGCGCAAGATCTACAGGGGGCTCAAGCGCAAGTGCGGCGTGCAGTACGCAGATCTCCAGCAGGAGCCACGGCTTGGCACGCAGCAGCACTTGCAGATGCAGGCGATTCACTTGCAGCACAAGGAGAGGACGCTCGGCTTCGAGTACAGCCGATTGCTGTCCCAGAAGGCCGTCGAGCACAACGGGGTAGGAGCCGCTCTAGTTCGAGTAGGAGGCGTTCCAATCGGACGAATACCAATGAGCAGCTCGGCATCATCGTCGGCATCATCTTCGTCAGCAGCACCTTCGACGCCAGCATGGTGGGCAAACGTGCGCCGCCAGCAGCAGCGGCACTTTCACCGACAGCAGCGCCGCCAGCAGCAGCAGCAGTTGCACCAGCAGCACCTTCGCCAACACCTTCGGCACCACCCGCGCTGTCCAAGGCGGCCTCGTGGACAGGGCCCTCGTCAGCACCGCCTTCGACGGTGGCGCCGTCCGACTGGCCGCCTAGCGAGCCCGAGGCGGGCGTGGATGCTCACGCGGCCGATCTCCTCCAGAGGTTCCTGGCGCTGACGAGTTCGCCGCCGCTGCCGCCGAATCCATCGGCAACCGACGGTGGCAGTTCTGAGGCGCCAGGCGGGCGCGAGGTCGCCCTTTCAGACCCGCACCAGGTCGCCGAGGAGCCCGAGCCCGACGCTCGAGGCAGGCCCAAAAAACTTAAACAACAAAGCCAAAAAAACATCCACGAGCGTGGAGGCGCAAGCAATGTCACAAACACCATCACCACCATCATCATCGGCACCATAAAATCTCCACGGGCGTGGGGCTCTGTCACCAACGTCACAATCACCATCACCACCATCATCACCAGCACCATCAGCATCATCACAATCGTCGTTACCACTACGATCCATCGTCATCGTCCTCTCGCTTCCTCCTCATGATCCGCCTCCTCTGTCTCCGCAGCCGCGTGGCCCTCTCAGGCTTGTTTCCCTACCGAGGCTCTGCCTAGAAGGGTTCTATGTTATAAGCTTAAAGGGGCCGGGCAGTGGGAAACGGCCCAGGCGGTTCCCCTGGCATCCGCCCCGCGGTTCCCCCAGTCCCCATGGGAGCTTTAGCTTTAGCCTTAGCTTTATCTTGAGCTTTAGCTTAGCTTTAGCTTAGCTTTAGCTTAGCTTTAGCTTAGCTTTAGCTTAGATGCAGCTTAGCTGTAGCTTATCTTTAGCTTAGCTTCAGCTTAGCTTTAGCTTAACTTTAGCCTAGTTTTAACTTAGCTTGAGCTTAGCGTTAGCTTATCTTTAGCTTAGCTTTATCGTAGCTTTAGCGTAGTTTTAGCTTAGCTTTAGCTGAGCTGTAGCTTAACTTTAGCTTAGCTTTAGCTTAGCTCCAGCCTAGCTTTAGCTTAGCTTCAGCTCAGCTTCAGCTTAGCTTCAGCTTAGCTTAGCGTTAGCTTAGATTTAGCTTAGCTTCAGCCTAGCGCCAGCTTAGCTTCAGCTTATCTTTAGCTTAGCTTCAGCTTAGTTTTAGCTTAGCTGCAGCTTAGCTTTAACTTAGCTTTAGCTTAGCTTCAGCTTAGCTTCAGCTTAGCTTTAGCTTAGCTCCAGTTTAGTTTTAGCTTAGTTTTACTGTTACTACCAATGCTGCTTTCATAGGGGCTCCAACTCCTAGGCAGGGTCGCACTGGGATAATTCTGCCACGTTGGCAACTGGTGAGAGAGGCGGCCCGACGACGGCGTCAGCGGTGCGCCAGAGGTGCCAGCGACCCAAGGAGTCGCAGCTCGTCGGCGCGACCCTCGCCGACAAGTGGGGCGCGAAGGCGGCCCTCAAGGACCCTGGCTTCGCGCGGGGCGGCCCGGGGTACATGAGCTCGCGGACGCAGGCCATCGACGAGGCGTCCATGTTGCCTTACGCCGAGGTCTTGCAGACCCTCTCCGAGGTTGCATTCGCGGGGTTTCCATCGCAGAAGTGCTTGAATGATGCTTTCGAGGAGCTGGGCAAGAAGCACGGCGCCCTCTCGCGTGACCCGCGTTTCGTGCTCAGGGTGGCCAGCGTGGCAGAAGACGCCTGGCGGGCCATGGCGAAGCGCCTCAACGACGCAGCCCAGGCGGAGAAGGCTCTGGAGAACAAGGCGCTTCAGCAGCTGGTGAAGATGCTTAAGCTTCCCTCTGAAAAGATGATGGCGGCGCAGCTCTTGCCAGCGGCGGTTCCTTCGACGACTCGCCGTCGACCGCGGCGGCGGCAGGCCCCGAGGAGGGCGCGGCCGCCGACGCGAGCGCGCAGGCGGTCAGGGCGCTCTTCCCCAACATGGGCGAGGCGGCGGAGCTTTCGCTTTAGCTTTAGCTTGGCTTTAGCCTAGCTCTAGCTTGGATTTAGCTCAGCTTCAGCTTAGCTTCAGCTTAGCTTCAGCTTAGCTTTAGCTTTAGCTTAGCTTTAGCTCAGCTTTAGCTCTTAGCTTTAGCTTAGCTTTAGCTTAGCTTTAACTTAGCTTTAGCTTAGCTTTAGCTTATCTTTTGCTTAGCTCTAGTTTAGATTTAGCTTCGCGTTAGCTTAGCTTCAGCTTAGCTTCAGCTTAACTTTAGCTTAGCTTTAGTTCTAGCTTTAGCTTAGCTTCAGCTTAGCTTTTGCTTAGCTTAAGCTTAGCGTCAGCTTAGATTTAGCTTCTGATTATCTTCAGCTTAGCTTCAGCTTAGCTTTAGCTTAGCCTTAGCTTGGCTTTAGCTTAGCTTTAGCTTAGCTTTAGCTTAGCGTTAGCTTAGCGTTAGCTTAGC